CCAAAAATCATTTCCACAAACTACTATCATGTCAACTAGCTGCAAATTGTGAAGGGCATGAATTTTGTTGAATTTCTTCTTAAGCGCTAGCACAAGACTTAGGTTGGCTCAGAAATCCCAGATTTAAGAATTACTGAGATGGGTCAAAAAGTTCTGCTGCTTCACTTTGAATCCATGATGTGCCAGGAATTGGATGGTTTAGTGACTGTGGAGAAATGTCAAGCCATCACCTCATTTAGCTGCACCTTCATCAGTAGATGGTTCAAGTGGCAGTATGTGCAGCTGCGCTTGTCTCAAGTTGGCTACCCGGACCATCAACTTTTTGAACACATGTGCACCGAGAGGTTGAAGATAGAGATGTCCAGAACTGGACAAAGATCTTTTTACTGATGCAGAGAACCTGAAGTAGAAAACAGAGCATCTCTCTTTTCTGGGACTGGGATTATTGTTCCAATAGAAGAAAATTAGCTACATACTTTTAAACTTATCAAAGAGTGCTTGAACTAGCTTCTTTCTGGATATGGTGTCTGCATCTAAAGCCTAAAACACATTCTTCAAGTCAGTGTTTTGCAAAGAAGAGATGTAGCAAAGAATGAAGTGACAGCAGAGGAGGCATCAGAGGATATCTAGTGTTACTTTGATAGAAGCTAGCTTTTCTTATCTTCCTATATGTTTCAAAAGAGGATCTCTGTCGCCGAGAGAGAAAGTGATACAGTGTTGTGCTAGCCAAAGCCATACACTCTGTGAAGTGGCTGGGGAACTGCACTACTGTTTATAACCTCCTTTCCGAATGTTTGGTGTCATCAGGGGCTTACAGTGCAATCCAAACAAAAAATACTTCATTATAAGGTTCCTGAAGTTCATAAACACCAGACAGCAATATCTCACAAACAGGAATGCTCAGAATCAGCTGAGGGGACGAAACTAATGTTCTGTAATGCATTCCACCCAAAAAGAAGGGACTTAAGGAGTATGAAGAAAGGTTAAGATATTTTGGGTACCATAAGTGCACATTTTTTCACTTTGACTTATTATTGTCAAGAAAGAAGTCAAATATTTAATAGGAGAAACAGTCCCCCTCCCCCCAGCCATACCGTTACCACCCAGGTCTTTGGAGGAGATGCTTGAGAGTGATATGCCTTCTACACATCTATCCAAGAGCTTAAAATTCTCTTAATAATTTAGAAAAGTACACTCTCAAACGGTTGTTTGTTAGAATATATCTGCTTCTAGGAAAAAAATGTTGACATGAGCCAGCCCTCAAAAGTTACCTCTTCTAAAACTTATGTTTCACTGTGGACTATATAACTATGGTAAATATCTGAATATAGACAGGAAGAATTAGCTCTGAGATATATTTACAATGCTATAGATCTAGGCAAAAGGCTCAAGATGTGTTTATGTATGTCGGTTGAGTTTCTCCATTGATTTTGATGCCAAAAGATAACCACCACAAAAAATTACCATAAAAATTTAGATATTCAGCTCTGGATTTTGTCAGATAATTACGCTTATGTGAGAGAAATCAAATTCTGATGTCACTTAAACAGCAAGCATTTAGAACTTAATTAAAAATTATTTCAACACCGTAAAGAATATTCAGAAATTTAGATTTAATCTGTGCTAAGAGAAACAAAATGACTAAATGAGAAGAGCAACAAAAATTATTAAATGTCTAGAAAATATGACTTATGAGGGAAGATTAGACTAAACAAACCCAATTTTTTCAAAGAGAAGAGATGACAGAGGGGACATGATAACAGATTTCAAGTACGTAACAGGTTGTTAGAAGGAGGAGGAAGAAAAACTGTTAACCTCTGAAGATAGGACAAGAAGCAATGGGCTTAAATTGCAGCAAGGGTGGTTTAGGTTGGACATTAGGAAAAACTTCCTGTCAGGGTAGTTAAGCACTGGAATAAATTGCCTAAGGAGGCTGTGGACTCTCCATCGTAGAATATTTTTAAGAGCAGGTTAGACAAACACCTATCAGGGATGGTCTAGAGAATACTTAGTCCTGCCTTGAGTACAGGGGACTGGACTAGATGACTACGGCTACGATTTAGTCACAGGTATTTTTAGTAAAAGTCTTGCACAGGTCACGGGCAATAAACAAAAATTAATGGCCTGTGACCTGTCCATTACTTTTAATCACAGGTATCTTTAGTATAAACTGGGGGGGAGGGGAAGAAGGACACACAGAGGGGATGTCTCGGGGGGGCCGCTGCAGGGGGCCAGCAGCACCAGCTGCCAGGGGCTCCTGACCATAGCTGCTCCAGCTGGCCACCTGGGGACCCCTGCCTGGGACTAGTGGACTGCGGCAGCTTTGCCCAGCTGCCCAGCCAGGGACGGCCACCTGCGGTGATCCAGAGGACCACGACTGCTGTGGCTGGGGACCACTGCCTGCTGCCACTGGAGCAGCAGCTGGTGTGGCTGTCCCCTGGACCGCTCCACCAGTGACTGGTGTGTGGCGGTCCTTGGAGCCACCTGAGCAGCTGGCCCTGGAGCCAGCCACACTGGCCACTGCAGAAGACATGGAGGTCGCGGAAAGTCATGGAATCCATGACTTCCGCAACATCCGGGACAGACACAGAGCTCTATAGATCACCTCTCAAGGTCCCTTCCAGTCCTACAATTCTATGATTCTCAGGGCTTGTCTACACAGTCGGTGGCAGGCTAGTGCAGGGTATGTTCACGCTCCAGCTTGCCACAAACTGTTAGTGTAGACAAGCTGTAAGAAAAACTAAAATAGGTTTAAAAATGATTGCTGTCGATTAATTGCAGTTAACTCACGCGATTTAACTAAAAAAATTAATCGTGATTTAAAAAATTTATCGCAACTAATCGCGGTTTTAATCACACCGTTAAACAATAGAATACCAATTGAAATTTATTAAATATTTTGGATGTTTTTCTACATTTTCATATATATTGTATTCTGTGTTGTAACTGAAATCAAAGTGTACATTGTTTTTGATTACAAATATTTGCACTGTAAAAATGATAAACAAAAGAAATAGAACTTTTCAATTCACCTCATACATGAACTGTAGTGCAATTTCTATCGTGAAAGTGCAACTTACAAATGTAGATTTTTTTTGTTACATAACTGCACTCAAAAACAAAACAATGTAAAACTTCAGAGCCTACAAGTCCACTCAGTCCTACTTCTTGTTCAGTCAACTGTTAAGATAAACAAGTTTGTTTACATTTACGGGAGATAATGCTGCCTGCTTCTTATTTACGTCACCTGAAAGTGAGAACAGACATTTGCCTGGTACTTTTGTAGCCGGCATTGCAAGGTATTTATATGTCAGATCTGCTAAACATTCATATGCTCTTTCATGCTTTGGTCACCATTCCAGAGGACATGCTGATGACGCTCATTAAAAAAATGCTTTAATTACATTTGTGACTGAACTCCTTGGGGGAGAATTGTATGCCTCCTGCTCTGTTTTACCTGCATTATGCCATATATTGCATGTTATTGCAGATCGTCTCTAATGATGACCCAGCTCATGTTCATTTTAAAAACACTTTCACTGCAGATTTGACAAAACGCAAAGTGAGAAAGGGGAGGAAGGGGGACTTGTGTCAGGGCCACACTCGGTGGGTAGGGAGTTGCAGAGTGAGCCTGCTCCACAGAAATCGCCTCTACCACTCCTGTCCCAAGTGATGCCTGAGCTCAGCTCCCTGCTCCAGGCGCTGCGATCTGGCCCCGGTGTGTGGGGTTAGAGTACTGTTCAGCCCCCACTTCTAACAGGACAGGGGATTTTGTGAGTCAAAGCATAACAGTCCCACAAAACCCAGGACTGCATTCAGCTGTAACTGCAATTAATCTAGTGTAAATCAACCACAATTCCCATAGACAGAAATGAAACACGCCACTAATCAGAATATAAGAAATTATATAAAATGGCCCAGAAGTTAGGTCAAGTTAAAAGAAGACAAGTTAGGTGATGGAGTAACTGCATGAAATAGCACTGGCACAAACCATCAACAGCTGAAAATAGTACTAACAATGGACCAAGCTATATTAAATGCAGAGCTAAACAGCTAACACTGGAATGGCCAGTGGCAGAAGAATTCTGTTGACTACTCAGATAGTCTTAGACATAAAAGCTCCTTATGCTCACATGCTGCATCTGTAGTGGAAATGGTAAAATCACTCTGTCTCTTCCCATCACCTTCTTTTGGGCCACATCCCAGTTGATCCAGGAAGACCTTTTTCAGAACCACAGAGTGGGTTTATGGGAGAGAGAAAGGGATTCACCATAGGGAAGGCATCCCATTATTCTACACTTCTATCAGGCAGGGTAGAACAATACTATAATCCTCACTCGGTTTATGTGCTTTGGGTAGAAAAAAGAATGAAGCACTCAACTGCTGATGTATGTTTTTGGGTATTATTAATACTTGTTTCCACTATTTCCTTTTCATCACCTACTTCATTACCATTCAGGTGTATGGATATTCTATGTAAATTAGAGAACTAGCAATAAGACAAGCAATGTAGCTCACTTGTTATATGGAAAATGTAACCACACACTAAAAAGTCAAACGGGCCTATCAGTATACTATCAATGTACAAAAAGCGTATTACGATCATATTTATTGTCATTTAGGTCCAAAGACAATACACCACCAATATAACAAATGTGTCTTTCAACTAGTAAGAAAAGTTTTAAAGTATTAGGATACATATTCAACCACAGATGTTTAACATTCAGAAACACTGCAAAAGAAACATTCAGACAGACACTTCGTTTTATCTTTACTTGACTGTGTTTAAATTCCAATAGTTTTCCCAAAACACACCATTATTAGATCCAGATAGCCTCATGATGTTTTAAAGCCATCTGCTTCAAAGCTATAAGAAATGGAAACTCAGGATAATTGAGCATACATATTCTTCAGTTCCAGAATTTATGTTTGTTGGTTGACATCACAAGATCTTGACCCTTTTCATTTAAAATTGAAAACAAAACCTGTGAACTACTCACCTCTGGCTGAATAGCTTTAAATACTGGGACATCCATTAGTGTTATCTGACCCTGAAATACAAAGTCATACATTACATTCAAAATTAATTTTCTGTCTGTTTAAAATCCTACATGGTTATAAGGTGCTAACTGTACTCTGCTGTATTTTGTTGTTTCACTATAATCATGCTGGAAACATCAGATATTATGAATCTGTTACCAACAAGTATCTTTGCTATTACCATTAAGACATGCTGCATATCCAAAGTATAAACCAATGGTCAGTATTTTACATTTATTCAAACAAACATAATCCTATCTACAAGCAAGTAAGTTATTCTTATGAACTGAATCCTGCATTTGTTTATGAGAGTCCTGATTTAAAACGTATAAGCTATCAGGTCAAATATAGAAAGATTTCCAAAAATCGCCAAGAAAGCACTTTCAATTCCTCACGAACTCAGTTTCTCTCAATCCTCCAAACAGCCATCTCTTATCATTATATGTGTATCTTTTGAAACATTTCTGCATCTCATTAATCAATCATGTGTCATTTCTCATGTTTGTAGCATATGAACCACAAAGTTGAGTGATTCCTCTGTCCCAAGGACACACGAGACAAAAGTCTATTTTTCCTGTCTCTATAAGTTCTTATATGGCATCCCTCACTATAGTATCAGTTTATATGCCAAAAATTAAAAACAAAAAGAATTTTCTTCCTTCCCACCAGCTAAAATTAATAAACAGCGGTTTGCTTTTTTGTTCGTGTTTTTAGCAAAGGTGACGAGAGGAGCTGTGTTTCTGTGTGAGAAGAACTACTGACAGAGATGAGTTTTGTATTTAGTTTTCTAAACTAAGGGAAATCAGACAGACCTAGCCTCACAAGTTCATTTAAGAGGCAACGAATAATAGAACAAAGTTGTGAATTTCAGTTAGTTATTATTCCATACTCACCCTTTACGTAAGAGTTTCTTTCTGCAATCCTTTCACCCATACCAACCACAATAGTCTACATTATGTGTTTATGCTAAAAACAGAAGAGCTGCTTTTTAATTTAAAAACAAACCTGGGTGACTGAAACCATCTCTTACAAAAACAAACAAAATCAGTGTATTTTAGAAGACAAGGAAAAGGTGAATTATTCTAGAAGAAAAGACTTTTCACCACATCGTTAAAAAACTGCCTATAGTTATTAAATTATCATTCAGGAGAAAATTGTCACAATAATCAAACCCAATGAAATTCTTAACTCCCTGGGAATATTAAGTACACGCACGATGTCTGTGTATAAGCTGTTGACAAAAGTTAACAATACCTCCTCATGTTTTGATTTTATTTCCAATCACAACTATAATGTCTGCTAGGGTGTTTACTTCTTCTCATTTTCATCATTGACCACTACAATTATTTTTACCTCCTTGCAACTATCAATCCAAACAGGCTTTACAATGGATTTTTTGGTTAGTTCAAATACACAGGGGGCAGCGGGTGATGTTTACTTTGTTTTTTCAGGTCAACCCAAAATGAATTTTTTCAATTGGGTAAATTATCGAGTCAAAAATGTTTTGAGTGAGGTCAAAATGAAACATTTTGTTTCCACCCACTTCAAAGTCTTTTCTTTTAGATTTCAGGCATTTTGACACAAACACAGGAGAACCAGACGAATACAATGGCCGGGGAGCAAAAAGGGAATGGTGAAGAGGCAGCGGCAGCCTCCCTTATAATCTTTAGCTCAGTTAGGAAACTCACCTGGGATGTGGGAGACCCAATTCAATTCTCCCCCCACCCCCCATCACCTGATGTGGAGTAGGAATTTAAACTTTCATCTCCTACGTTGCAGGAGAATATCCTAGCCACAGGATTACAGGATAGTCCAGTGTGGATTTTTCCTCAAATCTCTCCTGTTGAAACTGTTCAATTTTTTATAAATAAATAATCCTTGGAGCACACATTTGAACTTGGGTCTCACATCCTAGGGGAGTGCCCTAACTACCTGGCTATACAGTCACTCTCACTCTATTTCCCTGGGTCAATCATATTCATTGTCTCAGAGAGATTAGAGAGGCTATAAAAATAAAAAACTCAATAATAATGGGGGATTTCAACTATCCCCATATTGACTGGGTACATGTCACCTCAGGACGGGATGCAGAGATAAAGTTTGACACCTTAAATGACTGCTTCTTGGAGCACCTAGTCCTGGAACCCACAAGAGGAAAGACAATTCTTGATTTAGTCCTAAGTGGAGCCCAGGATCTGGTCCAAGAGGTGACTATTGCTGGACCGCTTGGTAACAGTGATCATAATATAATTAAATTTAACATCCTTGTGGCGGAGAAAACACCACAGCAGCCCAACATGGTAGCATTTAATTTCAGAAGAGGGAACTACACAAAAATGAGGAAGTTAGTTAAACGAAAATTAAAAGGTACAGTGCGAAAAGTGAAATCCCTGCAAACTGCATGGAAACTTTAAGACACCATTATAGAGGCTCAACTTAAATGTATACCCCAAATTAAAAAACCTAGTAAGAGAACCAAAAAAGTGCCACCATGGCTAAACAACAAAGTAAAAGAAACAGTCAGAGGCAAAAAGGCATCCTTTAAAAAGTGGACATTAAATCCTATTGAGGATAATTGAAAGGAGCATAAACTCTGGCAAAAGAAGTGTAAAAATATAATTAAGAATAACAACAGCTAGCCCAAGACTCAAAAAATAATAGCAAAAACAATTTTAAGTACATCACACACAGGAAGACTGCTAAACAACTAGTACCGGGCAAACTGGTTGAAACTATAGCAAAGAACAAAATTGTCAGAGACAGAGCGGAACATGATTTGTTGGGGAAGAGTCAACATGGTTTATGTAAAGGGAAATCATGCCTCATTAATCTACTAGAATTCTTTGAGGGGGTCAACAAGGGGGAGCCAGGGGATATAGTGTACTTAAGATTTTCAGAAAGCCTTTGACAAGGTCGCTCACCAAAGGCTCTTAAAGCAGGAGTAAGCAGTCATAGAATAAGAGGGAAAGTCCTCTCATGAATCAGTAACTAGTTAAAAAATAGGAAACAAAGGGTAGGAATGAATGGTCAGTTCTCAGAATGCAGAGGGGTAAATAGTGGTGTCCCACAGAGGTCTGTACTTGGACCAGTACTATTCAACATATTTATAAATGACCTGGAAAAAGGGGTAAACAGTGAGGTGGCAAAATTTGCAGATGATACAAAACTACTCAAGATAGTTAAGTCCCAGGCAGACTGCAAAGAGCTACAAAAGGATCTCTCAAAACTGGGTGACTGGGAAACAAAATGACAGATGAAGTTCGATGTTGATAAATGCAAAGTAATGCACATTGGAAAACAATCCCAACTATACATATAAAAAGATGGGGTCTAAATTAGCTGTTACTACTTAAGAAAGATCTTGGGAGTCATTGTGAATAGTTATCTGAAAACATCCACTCAATGTGCAGCAGCAGTCAAACAAGCTAATAGAATGTTGGGAATAGTTAAGAAAGGGATATATAAGAAGACAGAAAATATCGTATTGCTTCTATATAAATCCATCATATGCCCACATCTTGAATACTGCGTGCAGATGTAGTTGCCCCATCTCAAAAAAGATATACTGGAATTGGAAAAGGTCCAGAAAAGGGCAATAAAAAATGATTAGGGGTATGGAATGGCTTATGTATGAGGAGAGATTAATAAGACTGGGACTTTTCAGCTCTGAAAAGAGATGACTAAGGGGAGATATGATAGAGGTTTATAAAATAATGACTGGTGAAGAGAAAGTAAATAACCAAGTGTTATTTACTCCTTCTCATAACACAAGAACTAGGAGTCACCAAATGAAATTAATAGGCAGCAGGTTTAAAACAAACAAAAGGAAGTATTTCTTCACACAAAGCACAGTCAACCTGTGGAACTCTTTGCTAGAGGATGTTGTGAAGGCCAAAACTATAACATTGTTAAAAAAAGAACTAGATAAATTCGTGGAGGATAGTCCATCAATGGCTCTTAGCCAGGATGGGGAGGGATGGTGTCACTAGTCTCTGTTTGCCAGAAGCTGGGAATGGACGACAAGGGATGGATCACTTGATGGTTACCTGTTTTGTTCATTCAGTTACCAGTGTCCTTCAAGAAAAAATTTGTAAGTGCAATACAACTGTAAATTTGCAATATCTCTTTGTTCTGTCCTCCGGGTAGGTCTTTGTGACTAAGTATTTTGACTACAAAAATTAATATGGGAAAATTCATTCTTCTATATTCCAGAAATAGAGTATGTCTAGCAATCTTATACATAAATTAAAGAATGTCTCCATAGCTTAAAATGAAAGAGGAAGGACAGATAAAACAGATTCTAGAAAGATTTCGGAAGATCAACCAACCTACAGCAGAGACAGACAAAGAGAAATATATTTGGTTATGCATGCCAGGTAATTGTTCTAGAATGTGTCAGGGAGAAGCATTACTTTCTATATGAGAATGTTGGTTTTCTTGGATGCGGAAAAACTGAAGAATCCTTCAAGAGGAATGCTCATCTTTCAAGGAATTTATGTAATTTGTGAAGTTAACATCTGGAAAAGCAAACAATCTTGTGGTTAAGGCACTGTACTGGGAGTTGGGAAATCTGGGTTCAATTCCCAACTCTGCCACAGTGTTCTTTATTGGGCAAGGTGTTGCAGTACTTCAGCTCCCCGTCTATGCAGTCATAATAGTACTTTAACTCACATGGGTGTGGAAGGAATAAATTCATTATTATTTTTGAGGTGTTCAAATACTACAATGATTACCACCACACAGTTTTTCCTGTGTGCGCGGGTGGGGGACGGGGGGGAAGGGGGACAAAGAAAAGAAAATATATAAGAAAAGATTCTCAGACAGGCTAAACTAGAAAATTTACAGCCAGTAGGATGACGACCAACATATTCAGTTTCCTCCTCAAGGATTACAGGGTCCTTCTACAATTTAGAAATTGTTTATTGGGGATTTAGCTGGACTGCTTTAGGGAAAAATGCAAGTAAGAGGGGCCATATCATTCAGTTTAAAAATCTTCCAGAGCTCAGGCTCT